AAGATTTTAAAGGGTGGATTAAATTTTGGTTATAATTGGAGATGTTATTTAAAGTATATCACAGTACCATTATCCATTGCTGTGTTATTTTGTTTTATTTGGTAGTTGACAAACATTGAATTTATTTTTACTTTTTAGTGTGGTAAAATATATGGAACAAAAAATTTACCATTTTAATCATTATTAATAGTTCAGTGGCATTAAGTACATTCACAATGTGGTATAACCACTATCACTATCCATTTGGATTTTATATTAAACCCTTTTGAAGCAATTTGTAGTGAATCACTCAGTACAAAATATTAAAGTTTCCATGGCCACTAAGTAGTTAAAAAGTCACTTTGTTTAAAGTGAAAGAGAAGAGACTAAAGCTAAAGTAGTCAATCAATTTTCCCAGAGGCTATCAATAAAACTCATATCGTATATTTTTGCCCCCAATCCTCTGCTAGTCACTTTTTCTGCTACTATTGGTATAAGACAGTGTGTGAGAACAAGGAATACAGGTTTAAAAGTCAAACTGAAGCTTAAAGTCATGTTAAAAATAGGACAGAATGTAAGTTGGTCAAGACACATTTAAGCAGAAATATGCTTACCAATTAAGAAGTATCTATTAAATACTGAGTCCCTATTATGTACTAGAGGATACAAAATTTCACTGGAAACAAGACATATGTCTGTATATATATTTATCTTCTCTTTCTATAATAATCAATTACATATACCTCTATATGACACATTAAAAACTACATATCTACATATGGAAGCTACACACACACACAAAACAAACAAACAAACAAAAAAGAAAAAGAAAAACAAAACAAAACTCAATATGAGCCAGAGTTTTTAGGGAAGCCTTCACAGATGAGGTAGGGCTGGAGCTGAACTTGAAAGGAAGGCAAAATTTTACAAAGGAGAGAAGGGGTGGGGTCATTTCGGATCAAGTAACACCATCGACAATAGTACAGAACAGGGATATGCATGAAGCCTCCTGGGTTTAAGGTTCACACAGAAGGAATCAGGAAGCAGTTGTACTCTGCAGAGCCTTAAACACTATATTAAAAGCATGGACTTGATTCAAAACAGAACTGGATATGATGAGAAGCTTCTGTTGTCACTGAGGCAGGGAAAGTCCATTAGATACTGTATACCAAAAAATGCCCAAGAGCTAGTAATTGCCATCGATGGGTTTACAATATTCTCAACCATGGAAGAGACTATGTAGAGTACATGCTGTCTCTGTATTTACTTTCACCCTTTTAGTAAAACATTACTAGAATGTAATGTTAACCTCAGAGGATTAAAGACCATATGCAAAGCTTTGGGGGTCAGCATTTGTGTAATGAGGAAAAGATAAGCAACCATTACCTCCATTATCTATCAAAACCATTTCTCTCCTTCCAGGTCAAGTAAAGCAAATCAAACACCACAACATACCTTCAGGAGAGCACACTGCAGGAAGTTCAGAGAGGATAACTAAGGCAGCGGAAACCAACCTACTTCCATCTTCTGACAGCATCTGTGGCTTTGTAGCTGTTACTCCTGGGCCACCTGTCAATTTAGGATTTAGCTCTGGGAGCTGTCTAACTAGAATGCATACACACAATTCCAGTGTTGCAAAGACCAAAGATTTCCCAGGCACAAGTCCTCCTGTGTCCTTGCCCTCTCCAAATTCTGGCAAGGTTTCCTTTTCAGCAGCCCCATCATCAACTAAAAGACAAAAAGAACAATGTTGAATAAATGCTTCAGGTTTGTTTTGCTTCTGGTAGATGGCAGTTTAGTTCATTTCTGTTGTAGGTAACACATTTAAATGGGTGAAGTCTTGGGTCTTAAAGAATGAAAGAGAAAGTTATGGAGGTAAAAGTAGTTGTCTTTATGTGGACTTCTTATTGCAATGGATCAAAAGAAATCCTCGGTGACCTTCTCAGCCTTAAAATCTTGTCTGGTTAACTCCTTGCTGTTAAGGTGTGAACCTGATAGCTAGAGCTCCAGCACTGACCTTACCACCTTAATGTTGGTAGTGGCTGGGCAGAAAGATAGGAACTGAGGTCCCTGATGTCTTTAAGAAGCTGCCATCTCAGCCCAGGACTGCCAACTTCTGGACTTCTTTTAGATGAGAGAATAAGTCCTCATGTTTTAAATCTACTGTTATATTGGATTTTCTGTTATAGGTAGTCAAATGTAATCTTAAGTGATAAACTCACCAATACCAAATTTGACTTGTAAATGAACAATTTAATCACTTTGCAAAACTTAAGTTATTAAAGAATTGTCAGTAGTTCTTTCCATGTACATTGGTAAACACTTAAAAGTAAGTACTCAATCAGTTATAAAGAATTTTTTTTCCTTCCAGGGCTGTTAAAATTCTAATTTTCCCAAGGAATAGTAGTTTAGCTACTGACAACATCCAAGCTAACATGTAGAGGCGCATGAGAGGATTTGAAGCCATACCTAGAGATTTGTACTATACACAACAGATTCTCAGAACGACATAGACACATAAGCAATACTTTAAAAAATAATGATGCCGTGTGATTAATATGGCATTATAGGAACATTCACCTTCTGCACTTCGTCTTTTCTCCTTCACATGTTCTTGAGCTGCACAGATAATCTGCCTTACCACTTCAAGAGAAGCCAGCTGAATGGAAGGTGATTCTCGGGTCAAAATTACTCGATGTAGTACATTCAACAACTCGATACCCAAGTCCTATCACAGAAAACAGGTGAGACTATATGGAAAATTACATACTTAAAAAAAAAATACCAATGTTAAATGCCATGACAAAATTCAGAGAAAGAAACAATGGTCCATAAAAAATAAAGGTGTTAGGGCAATAAAGTTATGTAACACTTGCTCCACTTTAAACCAACTCCAGGTTGGTTTTTGTCCAATCTTGTGGGAGATGGCACTATGACAAAAGATCATTTTCACACAGGTCCTAAAGTGGGGAAACAAACGAGATTTCTAAAACAAGATGAAAAATGTGGCTAAAAGTATATAAGGACTGCCATGTAGATTCCTAGATTTATATTAAGGTTTTCTAGTACTAATAAAGAATGATGGTGAAGTATGACATTAAAAGTGGTAAGTTATTAAGCACAGAATGAATATCTCTCTAAAGAATAAAATACACTGGACAAATACTATTTCATTTTCCCCTTTTCTATTGGTTACTCTGGTGGCTTTCTTTAATCTTTGAAAATAATAGTAAAACTGTCATTATGATACTTTTTTTTTTTTTAAAGATGTTGGGGGTAGGAGTTTATTAATTAATTAATTTATTTTTGCTGTGTTGGGTCTTCGTTTCTGTGCGAGGGCTTTCTCTAGTTGTGGCAAGCGGGGCCACTCTTCATCGCGGTGTGCGAGCCTCTCACTATCGCGGCCTCTCCCGTTGCAGAGCACAGGCTCCAGACGCGCAGGCTCAGTAGTTGTGGCTCACGGGCCCAGTCGCTCCGTGGCATGTGGGATCCTCCCAGACCAGGGCTCGAACCCGCGTCCCCTGCATTAGCAGGAAGACTGCCAACCACTGCGCCACCAGGGAAGCCCCTATGATACTTGTTTTAACATACAGAATAAACAAGCAGAAAAAGTTTAAAATTTATTCAAGTACAATCCAAGTCAGGCAGGAGCCTGATTAATACTTTAAACCTAATAAATGATGGTAGTAATAAGTTAAATAACTGTCTGTATAGAAAAGAAATCATACCATCCACTTTTCTTAACATCCAAGAGTCAATTTAATATACAATTCAATATACTGGTAGTACCTGATGCTAAAGGTGCCTGCCCAATACAGAGCTGCTCTTGGAAAAGCAGTTAAAGGAAGTGCCATTCTTTGTACAGTGATTTTTTTTTTTTTAACATCTCTATTGGAGTATAATTGCTTTACAATGGTGTGTTAGTTTCTGCTGTATCACAAAGTGAATCAGTTGTGTACAGTGATCTTTTAACCATGGTCACAACTGGGTCTGATATTAGTGTCTGACTCCACCTAGAGACTAGCCAGTCGTCTCTTAAAAAGACTTGGATAGAGAACTCAGCCAAGAGGAATACTACGTAAATGACAATAACTATGTGAACCAAAAAGAAACTCAGGGAAATGGGGTATAAGATACAGGTATATACGAAGAGCAGGGTGCACTGAAGCGGAAAGAGACAAAGACAGTATGATATAGAACCTTCCCATCACTGCAGAAAGTTCACATGAAGAGCTGCTACACGGAGTGGTTGACTGGTGGCAGCAGAAATAAGTGCGACAGAAGCAGAGACAGAAAGTGGCAGAAAGAGGCATGACTGCTTCTGGGTCAGCATAGTTGCTGATGCCATTTCAGTTCTGAGGCCTAGCTGTGCAGTTTTTTAGTTTCCTTTTTACTTCTCCGTGTTTACTCCCTATTCACTGTAGTAACCTGGACATGTTTCTGTTCCTGTTCCTTGACATGTACAGAAGCCAAACAAAAAACAAGAAATCACCTGATCACTGCCAATTTTAGATCTGGGCCAAGGAACATCTAGAAGGGCCTGTAACGCATGTAAACAAGCAGTAATGCTTTCCATGGTTGCATCTGAACGTAAGGAACACAGAAATTCCACACTGATTCCTGTAGAAAGCAGAAAAAGAGAATGAGGCTTGAGATTCTTAGTTTATGAAGTTAAATAATTTTGTATTTTGATAAGATATACAAATGAACTTAGCAAAAAGGTAATGCAAATAAACCACAATGAATTTAAGACTAAACAATTAAGTGATAAGGCAATCTCTTAATAGTTTGTTTTTATCAACATGTCACAAATAATAATCTCCATTAGGCTTGCACACTACTGCAAAAATTACAATAAAATTGCACCAGAGAATTTAACATGTAGAGTTTCATAACTTTATTTTGACTAAAACTTATTGATTACCATGTATCAGGCGTTGCACTTTAAGTATATCATTTCACTCTCACACTATCTGAGAAAGTAGGTACTATTATTACCACTCCTTTTTTTTTTTTTTTAGTGGTACGCCGGCCTCTCACTGTTGTGGCCTCTCCCGTTGCGGAGCACAGGCTCCAGACGCACAGGCTCAGCGGCATGTGGGATCTTCCCGGACCGGGGCACGAACCCGTGTCCCCTGCATCGGCAGGCGGACTCTCAACCACTGCGCCACCAGGGAAGCCCTATTACCACTCCTTTTAAGCACACAGAGCTTAAATAGTTTGCTAAAGGTCCATTACAATGGGGCACACCAAGAATTTGAACTGAGGTAATTGTACTGCACAGCTTATGCCCTGCCAATCTTCATTATATAAAAGTTCATTTTTATCTTTTAAAATCTTTTTATTTAAAAGAAATATTTATTTGGCTGCCCTGGGTCTTCATTGCCTCATGCAGGATCTTCGTTGCAGCATGCAAACTCTTAGTTGCGGCACGTGGGACCTAGTTCCCTGACCGAAGTAGGGACCGGACCCGGGCCCCCTGCATTGGGAGCACCCCCTTGCATTGGGAGCGTGGAGTCTTAGCCACTGGACCACCAGGGAAGTCCTAAAAGTTTGTTTTTAGAAAGCTCTCATCTCAAGGCAAGCAAAAACAAAATTTTAACATACCCAAGGATATAAGAAATCCGGTCATGTTTGGCCTGGTAAGGAATAACAGAAGCTCTATGAACCATAAACCTTACTTAATCACTTGCCTTTATAACTCTCACATGTCACTTAATAACTTATTTATAGGTAATGATCTAATAACTTGTTTCCTCAGAACAAGGTAAGTATGAAAAATATTTATTCTAGAAACTCACTGTACCTAGAAAGATACTTCACTTTAAAAATAAAGTTCCAGGGCTTCCGTGGTGGCACAGTGGTTGAGAGTCCACCTGCCGATGCAGGGGACACGGGTTTGTGCCCCGATCCGGGAAGATCCCACATGCCGCAGAGCAGCTAGGCCTGTGAGCCATGGCTGTTGAGCCTGCGCGTCCGGAGCCTCTGCTCCGCAACGGGAGAGGCCACAATAGTGAGAGGCCCGTGTACCGCAAAAAAAAAAAAAAAAAAAAAAAACCATGTGGAAAGAACTAGGTTTCTTTTGCAAATTTTACATACATTCAACTCGATGCTAAAACCAGCCTGTAATGGCATTCTAGACTTAATATAATGAAATTTGCAATTTTATAAGATGTATACAAGCTTACTCACTTGTATACATCAAGGCTATCACTAATGCCTAATGAAGAATGAAGTAATAGCCACCAAGAGCTGATAGGCAGGGGGCACAATTCAAGAAAAACTCTGTAGGGTCAGAAGCTAGTAAGGTCTTTTACTGACCTAAAATAAGATGGAATCTCTCAGTGTAGACATCCTCAGGGGACTTTACTGGAGCCCCAGATGATGACCCCTGACACATGGAAGTTGGTGTTACAGGCCTTGAGAGATTAGGTGCTCCCTCATCTGGGTCAGCAACAACAAAGCCTGTGCTTGTAAGCCACAGTGCTGTAGCATGGAGAATAAACGCCCAGGAGTTGTAATAATGCGATTTTGCGTTTTCACTAGTCTCTGCTGTGTAGAAAGCACCGCCTACAAAAAAGGGAAAGCAAACAGTGTCAGGAGGAATAAACGAACGGATTAGCTCACACTACATTTTCCCTTTTATCTGTTACAAGATGTAGACCATTTCCATCATCCCAAAATTTCCTTTGTGACCCTTTCCAGTCAGTCCCCTACACCTCAAGGCAACTACTTTTTTTTTTTTAATTTATCCATTTATTTTATTATTATTATTTTTTGGCTGTGTTGGGTCTTTGTTGCTGCGCAGGGTTTCTCTAGTTGCGGCGAGCTTGGGCTACTCTTCATTGCAGTGTGTGGGCTTCTCGTTGCTGTGGATTCTCTTGCTGCAGAGCACGGGCTCTAGGCACACGGACTTCAGTAGTTGTGGCACGAGGGCTCAGCAGTTGTGGCTCGTGGGTTCTAGAGCACAGGCTCAGTAGTTGTGGCGCACAGGCTTATTAGCTGCTCCTCAGCATGTGGGATCTTCCCGGACCAGGGCTCAAACACGTGTCCCCTGCACTGGCAGGCAGATTCTTAACCACTGTGCCACCAGAGAAGCCCGGCAACTACTTTTTGACTTTTATCACCACAGACGTTTTGCCTGTGCTTGGACTTCACAGAAATGGAAAAATATCCAGTATGCACTTGTTTGTGACTGAGGTTTTTTTTTTTTAAATAAATTTATTTATTTTATTTATTTATTTTTGGCTGCGTTGGGTCTTCATTGCTGTGCACAGGCTTTCTCTAGTTGCGGTGAGTGGGGGCTACTCTTCATTGCAGTGCGTGGCCTTCTCACTGCGGTGGCTTCTCTTGCTGCGGAGCATGGGCTCTAGGCACACGGGCTCAGTAGTTGTGGCACATGGGCTTAGTTGCTCTGCGGCACGTGGGATCTTCCCGGACCAGGGCTCGAACCTGTACCCCCTGCATTAGTGGATTCTTAACCACTGTACCACCAGGGAAACCCCTTTTTTTGATGTTGGCCATTTTAAGTTTTTTTTCGGGACTTCCCTGGTGGTGTGGTGGTTAAGAATCCACCTGCCAATGCAGGGGACACGGGTTCGAGCCCTGGTCCAGGAAGATCCCACATGCCGTGGAGCAACTAAGCCCGAGCGCCACAACTACTGAGCCTGTTTGCCACAACTACTGAAGCCTGCACGCCTAGAGCCCGTGCTCCAAAACAAGAGAAGCCATTGCAATGAGAAACCCACACACCGCAAGGAAGAGTAGCCCCCGCTCGCCGCAACTAGAGAAAGCCCGCACGCAGCAACCAAGACGCAACACAGCCAAATAAATAAATAAAAATAAATAAGTTTAAAAAAAGTTTTTATTGAATTTGTTACAATACTGCTTCTGTATCATGTTTCAGGTTTTTTTGGCTACTATGCATGTGGGATCTTAGCTCCCCAACCAGGGATCAAACCTGCACCCCCTGCATTGGAAGGCGAAGTCTTAACCACTGGATCACCAGGGGAAGTCCCTGTGACTAAGTTTTTGTTTAACAATGTTTTCAGAGATTCATCCATGCTGCTACATTATCAATATTTTGTTATCAATGATTTTATTTCTCCTGAGCATACAACTGTTGGGTCACAGGGCTGATGTATCCTTACAACTTTATAAGAAATTTGCAGGCTAATTCTTAACTTTTTATTTTATTATTTTTTTTTTGCGGTACGCGGGCCTCTCACTGTTGTGGCCTCTCCCGTTGTGGAGCACAGGCTCCGGACACACAGGCTCAGCGGCCATGGCTCAGGGGCCTAGCCGCTCAGCGGCATGTGGGATCTTCCTGGACCGGGGCACGAACCTGTGTCCCCTGCATTGGCAGGCGGACTCTCAACCAGTGCGCCACCAGGGAAGCCCCACTTTTTATTTTTAATCACAAAATATTTTAAAACAAATATGTGATGTGTATATGCATGTTTAGAAGGTGAAAGATTTATAGGATCTGAAGAGAAACCAGAGTATGTGTATGCATGTATAAAACAGATACCTATTTACCTATCTCCAAGATTAACATTTTGTCTTTCTTAAATCTCTTTCTTAAAAAACAAACAAAAATCTCCTAAAACTTTGTACACCACTAATTCTTGCCCCTCCTTTTGTAACCACTTTCCTCAAGTCACTGTGAATCACTCTCATTATGGTCTTACACTTTCACTCTAGACGTTTGTATTCATAAATAATAGATGCTGTTATTTCTTGTGTGAGTTTCCTTAAAAGCCTCATACTGTGTGTATCCTTTTTAAACTTGCTTCCCCCCAACACTACGTTTTAATGATTTATGTGTCATTAACATGTGCTGATAAATTATGTCAATAAATCAGTTTATTTCCATTTTGTTTCCATTTTTAATGCTATTGAAAGGTACAAAGTACAATAAACACTCCACATATCTCTTTGTGTATAATTCCAATTAAAATTCTAACAGAACTTGATAGGCTGACCCTAAAATTCATAGCAAAGAGTAAAAAAAAATAATAGCCATTTTGGAATAACATGAAAATTAAAAGCAGCTACCAAATATCCAATCCATAAAATGCAATATTAATAACTGACTATAAAATTAGATCCCTAAGGGAATCTAAAAAAGAGTAGATATATGTATATGTATAACTGATTCACTTTGCTGTACAGCAGAAACTAACACAATATTGTAAAGCAACTATACTCCAATAAAAATTAATTTAAAAAATTTTAAAAATTAAAAAATAAAATTTGACCCCTATCCTCATTCCACACACATAATATAAATTCTAGCTGGACTAAAGCCCAAAATGTAAAAAGCAAAACTGTAAAGCTTATATTTCTTTATGACCTTAAGTTACAAAGAAGTATCAGGCACTATACAAAAACCATAAACAACTGATTATATTACTTTTAAAAAGATAAAAGAGCAAACTACAGGCTGAGAGAAGATACCTGCAAGATATGGAATCACAAAGGAATAGTATTAAACATATGTAAAGGATTAATAAGTCAGTAAGAAAATGTCAAATAGTAGAAAATGGGCAAAGATTATGACTAGGTGATTTATGGAAAAAGAAACTTAAACGTCCCATAAACCAATGAAAAAAGATTCCCAATCTAGGAAATAAACCAATGAAACTCTTTCATACTCATCAGATTGACAAAAATTATTAACAATGATAACATATAATGATGGGAAGATGTAGAAAAACAGAAGCATGTTGCTGTTTGTAATGTATGTTGTTTGTATGCAATGTATGTTGCACATACATTGTTGTAACCACTTTGGAGAGCGATTTGGCAGTGTCTTGTGAGGTAAGACGAGCCTGCCTTATGACTTAGAGATTCAACTTCAGGGTCTCCACCCTGAAGCAACTCTCCCGTGCTTATTCTATGAATGAAAATTATTCTGGGAAAATGTTTCAGATGAACATTACCTGCTAACGGAGAAATTTTGAAAATACATGTTATTGACTGTCATTCTAGGGATTATGTAAATATTTTCCCCCCTTACCTTCAACAGGAAGCTGGGAAGCAAATTCTGAAGGCAAAGTTAGGAGAGCAAAATCCTGAAGCGCAGCAAGCCAGAGCCTACTTAATGTGCCAAGATCTGCGTGGACTAAGTCAAGCAGCCCGTCTGATGAAATCGACCCGTTTCCGACACTCTCTTCTGAACAGGTAGTCTTCAAAGGTTGCTTGTGGTTTTTATGTCTTTCTACAGCAATTATGTAGACCTGTATAAAGGTTACTTTATAAATAGGAAAATCTCGTACCCACTGAAAAGGTGTTACAATATCTTTATCTTGCTGAAGAGGCAGACTTACCTTGAGCCTGCCTCCTGGACTTAAAATGCATTGTGATACCAAGAAGGTATACATATGTAACCACACACACAAAACTAGGGTAGAAAGATCCAAAAGCATTATCTTCAGTGAGATATATTAGGGATAATAAACATTTGACAAATATGCTGCCACCTTGCAGTTTACAACCATGACAGCTATAATTAAATGATCATGGCACTCTTTTTTACTAAGCCTAGACATGGCCTTGTAATCCATTTCAAAATATGGCTACAGGCAGCCATCTCTGAATTGAAATAAGCTGAATATCTTCTTTCAATGTTACCACTAAATTACTATAAAAAGTTTAACTATATAGATTTAACATGGACTACAGAATGTTAAAGTATTCAACATTGTACATAATGTGTACTATCTCTTTATCCATAACTCCAAAATCCAAAAAGCTCTGAAAAATCTAAGTTTGTGGGTAAATCAATCTGGTGGCAAAACACAAAAATTTTATGTGAAGCTATTTATACAGTGTGAATATTCAAACATTTCACACAGATATATTTAAGTGTTTGATTACAGATTCTATGGTATTGTCCCAGACATCCTAGATGAATACATGAAATATGCATCCAAATTTTAAATCCCAAATATATCTGGCTCCAAGGATTTCAGATAATTATGGACCTCAATTACATGGAACTTGTTGGCTAGTCATTACTTTCACTAAGGAGAGAATAGGAGAAAGTAATGGCTTAAGCAAGAGTATAGAGTTTCAAATTATTACAAAGAACACTATATAAGCATAGAGTAATTTATAAAATAGGTTACAGAAATTACAGAATCTCTGTTTGCTCTATTAAAAGCATATGTTTAAAGCATTTAGAGTTGACTGTTAAAGATCATTAGATCCAACTTATTAAATCGAGGCAGCACTACTTCCTGAGATTTGTCAACACTAAATAATGACAAAAATAGACACTTTACAATCTTCTGATTTTAATTAGCCCCAGTGAAGGAAACCCTTTCTTATATGTTGATTAATTCTCTCAGTTGCAATCTGAGACTATATACTTCATTAAAGTGATATATGAACCAAGACTGGCCAAGTCTGGTAACTGCTGAAGCTGGATGACGGGTATATATGAGTTCACTGTACTATTCTGTGTAAACATTTCCATCGTAAATTTAAAAATTATATAGCTTTCTTCCTGATTAGAAAAGTAAATAAAGAACAGTTAAGCACTTCCCTCTAAGATTTCTCTAATCTTAGGAAATAAACCAACTTAATATTCAAGTGACTTTATGAAAGAGCACTAAAAAATATTAACATATGTATTATAGAGTTGATAGAATATATGAGCAAACCCACATTTCCAATAATTCAGGTTTCAATAAAAGTTGATTTCCATTGGCTATTATTAATTTCTCTCATGACTGCCCCTGCTTAAAGCAGCAGATAACAGACAACAGAGGGCACTTTAGAATCCTTGGCCAAAATATCAATTAGCATATAAATACATCTCATGTTGAAAGTCTTCTGTCAACCTTAAACATAGACTTATTTGTGTTTTAAATAGCTAACTTCAGTTTATGGCCTAAGATGTTCATTAACAACTTCCAAAATTCTAGAAGTACTAACCTCTGCCCAGGCTTTTAGCACAGCTAAGATCTCCATGGTAGAAGCACTTTCATTATATAAGTGACTTAGAGCTTCTTTTCCAACCTGAATTTTTGTTAATGATGCAACAAGCAACTGATGAACTCTTCGGAGATCATTAAGGTCACTTACAACTCCACTTGCTATCCAGGCACTGCAAACCTAGTTTTTTAAGAAAATCAAAGGTTATATTTAAAAATTATAAACACCCCCTTTGTGAGTTCAGCAAAACTCACCCATATCTCAGGAATCTGGTCATTGAAATCATCTTGCTATCAAGAAACCCCAAGGGATACTGGTGATAATGATAGTCAAAGCCAGCATTTCAAAAGGGAATGAAGTCTTAAGGTTGAAGAAAGGAAACTGTGCTAATAAGTATATAAATCAGAGTTTCAGATGTTATTAACACAGTGAAATTAAGCCATGAAAGGCATCACTTTCATAAATGTTTGGATTAACATCTGAATTATATCTCCAATCTTGACTATTTCATCTTATTATTACTTTAAAAACAGCGATTAATTGCATGGTTAATTATTTTATCTTTCTTGAAAGATAAATTACCTACCATTTAAACCTCAATGAAGATTTTGATTCTTTTGAAGATATTTTTAATTTTGAAAACAAAACATCATTAATAATTCTCCAATTCAAAAAGTTTACTCAATTGTCAGAGGTTATCTATAAAGGTTTTCCTGGGTCTCACCATATTTCTCTTTTACTAAAGAAAATTTATTTTTCTTTTCTATCTATTTAGTTTGCATCTCATTTCACAAAAGATTTCGAGTGGCTTACAGTGAGAGCACATATAATAAAACGATGATAAATTAGACTCGGGACAACAGTTAACACACTTCCATGAATATCTGAAGGCTCTCAAACATTTCCTAAACACAAATGAATTTAGAAATTTGAAAATACTGAGTAAAATTATAATTAAGTTAATTCACATCAGTTCTGCTCTTAATTATTTCAGGCCATTCAGGTCTGGATATTGAATGTCTGACAACCACACCAAGAAAAGCAACTATTTAAAACTGTATATTATATGGCTCTCAGCTATATGAAGAAAAGCTCAACCTCACTTGAAATACAAATCTAAACTATCCTGAGATACCCTTTTTACTCCATCATATACACAAAAATCTAAGTTTGACAACTCACAATGCTGCTGAGACTTTGGGGAAACAGGCACTTACATACAGTGCTGGTAGGAGTTTAAACTGGTAGACTCCTGTAATATGCTCTTTAACCCAGCAATTCAATTTTAGGGAATTTATCTCACAGATATGCTTAGACCCAGTGAAATGACCTATGCAGAAAGAAGGTCATTCACTGCAGCAGTATCCATAATAGCAAAAGACGAAAAAACCCATACTTCCATCACTAAGGAGCTGGTGACATACCCATATATTGGATTACCACGCAGTTATGAGAAAGAAAAAGTTCTCTAAACTTAAAAAGTAAAGGAAAAGGGGCAACTGAGATTAATGGTTAGACAACTATAACATAGAACCTTGGTATCAAATACTAACTGGAGAGCTGCTACCTAAAGGAAGGATTTTTCTTAAAATTTATCTTTTTAACCATTTACCTGACATGCTTTGGCAGTGACATCAGGTGGCGTCTCTGAGGTGAAGGCTGGTCTAAGTGCCGCTCCTACCTGGCAAGACATTACAGACTCATTCAAGCATCACAAAGTAAGATAGCGAACTTTTTCTCATTTTAATGTTATTTTAAAATTAGTTTTTTTTAAAATTAGTTATTTATAATATGCATTATGAACACCTTTTGTTTTTGCCTGCCCAGCATATCTTCTCGTTTTTAGCTAAGTGCATCCAAGCTTTCCTTTGGGGAACTTTCTCTCTCCACAACTGTCAGCCCGTGTTGTTGCTATGGAGTTGTGAGCACTGTCTGGCTCCAGGGACCCACCCTGGGATAATGAAAGCTCTCCTGAGGACATTTGCTAGGAGTACTAGGAAAGAAGCGCTCTCTTTAAAAGACTCTGGATGCTAAGAGAGCCATCTTGATACCACTTGGAGAGGGCAAACTTGAGAATAAAGCCAGCGCAGAAGAAAGCAGAGCCAACTACGGTTCCTGAAAACAATTTTCCTTTTCTCCTTAAGTGAGTGGTAATTTTATTTCTATCATTTGCAATTTTAAGAGCATTAAAAATATAACAGGGGCTTCCCTGGCAGCACAGTGGTTGAGAATCTGCCTGCCAATGCAGGGGACATGGGTTCGAGCCCTGGTCTGGGAGGATCCCACATGCTGCAGAGCAACTGGGCCCGTGAGTCACAACTACTGAGCCTGTAAAGCTGGAGCCTGTGCTCCTCAACAAGAGAGGCCACGATGGTGAGAGGCCCGTGCACCGCGATGAAGAGTGGCCCCCACTTGCCGCAACTAGAGAAAGCCCTCGCACAGAAACAAAGACCCAACACAGCCAAAAATAAACATACAAATAAATTAATTAATAAATATATATATATATATAACAGAGCTCCCTTTAAGTAAGTTGAATTATAATATTTTAGTCTAATGTGATTAGTTGTATCTAACTCCTGTCCCTTCCTTTTGCTCTTTCCCTAAACACACATCAGCATTACCTGCTGGGAAGATGTGATGGAGCCTGCTAACCAACTGGTGAACTGCTCTGGATTCCCTAACTGCCAGCCATCAGAAGCTGCCTTTGAATCATGAGAGGTATCCTTGGATGAATGCTACTGAAGGATTACATGTGATGTGTGTGATATAATATGTGATGATTTTGTTATCTTCCTTGTTCCTCCTAGGCTGCTCAATGCACCAGTCAAAAAAACACCAGTTAAAAAGCTTACAGAGGGCTTCCCTGGTGGTGCAGTGGTTGAGAGTCCGCCTGCCGATGCAGGGGACACGGGTTCGTGCCCCGGTCCGGGAAGATCCCACATGCCGTGGAGCAACTAAGCCTGTGCGTCACAACTACTGAGCCTGTGCTCTAGAGCCCATGCGCCACAACTAATGAAGCCTGTGCATTCTAGGGCCAGCGTGCTGCAACTACTGAAGCCCGCGTGCCTAGAGCCTGTGCTCCGCAACAAGAGAAGCCACTGCAATGAGAAGCCTGTGCACTGCAACAAAGAGTAGCGCCCGCTCGCAACAACCAGAGAAAGCCCGTGCACAGCAATGAAGACCCAACGCAGCCAAAAATAAATAAAATTAAAAAAAAAAAAAGAACAATGCCTATCCCACAGGGTTATTGTTAAAGATTAACTTAGTAAATGAATGTTGATTTTTTTAAAAAGCCCTTTATTCCCCCAAAATTACCAAAAAGGTTTTAATTATGAAAATTAACCTTTAGTGTTATAAAAGACCTATTTTATGTATTATTTTGCTTTTACATGAAGATTTCTTCTTTAAACATATACTGATTATACTGGTGATATATTAGCAGAGATACATACTCATTTACGTATTAAAAGGTGACATGCCAATTAGTTTCACAGACTTTTAATAATAATAAAATTCTCTAGTAGAAAGAGCTTACATTGGCTTGATACTGTTCCAGAATCACATGACCTGGAAACTCTGGTTCTGGAATAGTTGCAAATCGCCGAATAACAACTAACAGTGTTTCAAGGCCAGAAAGACGGAGCTGATCACTGTGATCTGTGGCAGCCATAAAAGCCATGCGAATTAAGTCAGCAAGATGTAGCACCAAAAAGTCATCTGCAATATTAAAAAAAATATCTTATTAAGAAAAAGAATACGCTGGAACTAAGATTTATGTTAAGTGATAATTTTTCCTCCTTTTAATTTCATAACCTAGACTTTCTTTTAAGTACTTTTGATTTGATTCACATTTTACTGTTTGTTAAATACAGACTTTAAAGCTGGCTTTACTGCACCTGTGCAAATACTCACATACAAACAACTATCCCAAAGCAAGTAATTATGCAGCTATTCAAAAACAAAGGCAGAATTAGCATCCTTTAAAAGAGTACTAATAGTACCTTCAATAAAAATTTTGTCCAGACTTTCTGACAAAACTACATTAGAAGGTACTTAGGAGACTGGGTTTTGATGAATTAGGCGGTAATTTAATCATCCTCTTTACATCAAGTTGAGGCTAAAAGACAATGTCCCTTTAAAAAAAGTTTTATGTGGTTCTTTATATGGACTACATTACCTTACTCTTTTGCATGTCCTGCCACACACACAAGTGATAGGAGCATAAAAGTATTTCTAGCTGTGAAATTATAAATGATAATTCTTTTCATGCCTACAACATATTCTTTGGTATAATAATTCTACTGGGGAGAGACATAAGACAATCATTTAACACTGTTCCAACAATAAAATGTTTACAGGTACAACTAACCTTTACCTAAAAAATATGTGAGACTAATTCAAAGAAGTATACTAGTTATAGGTCACACTGAAGAAACCAACTCATCTTAGTAAGTGCCAATTACAGTTTTAATTGGGAGCACAGGAGTCAGTAAGCACCTATATCAGAATAGTGCTCATCACAAATAAGAGACTCAATAAATGCTTACTTGAAAAACAATTAAAATAGAAATACCTAATTCATACTCTCAGACTGACCATAACATCTTGCCTTATGATTCTTTTGTCAGGTAAAGAATATTTCCAAGGCACTGAGAAATAAGCATTGAGTCTTTGAACATATGTGCTTAAGTGATTTTAAAAAATTAGACATTAAACCATAACCCACATGCATTTAGGTAAAAATAATAAAACTGAACAATAAAAGGTCGAAATGGTCTTAAACTCGGTTTACTTTACATTGAGATACATACATTGAGATACATTGAGATTACATATCTTCTAGGTAATATCCTTGAAACCAAAATAATCTATGAGCAAAACTGCTCTAAGTTACAATTCAGAAAATAAAATTTAGAAAATAAAATTTGGCAACTAGCTAATGTACATACTACTTTCCAAGAACATGACTATTCTCTATAAACTTAATATATCACATATGTCCACTAAAGAAAAGTGAATGTGAATTTAAGAAGTTTAATCATTAAAAATGTATTTGAACATTAAAAATATACTATAGGCAGACAGCATTTCAATGTATATCATTTGGTCTTTTCATTATTATGCCACTTACTTCTTGAATCCCTTTTTTTCATTTCTTGTGCTAAAGCGATGTCAAAATGTGCACTGTGTGCATGCTCACACTGGTTAATTATCCTGCAGACACATTCAGCAGCAAAGACTCTTGTAGCCCATCGCGGATTGGTAAAAGGATGAGGTCTGCCATCATTTCTGATGGTCAGAACTGAAGCATCATCCCCTTTATCTCCTTCCTCTTCTTGCATTGTATCCACACAAGTTACAGTTGTAAAATCTTTTATCAAGGGAGAATACACATAATCACAATCAGTTGGAAGATATATTTATAAAGGGACACAATGACTTCAAGTACAGACTAGAATTACTGTTGATCAAAATGACTACTAATAACAGTGGTATCTAAAGAAATGCTAAAAAAACTATTCTTAAAAAATGACAAAGTTGTTAAATTATATTTAAAGTGAAAACTGAACATGATACTAAAATAATTATCAATCCCCTGTATGTAGATGGATATACTTAAGGAAGCTCAGAATTCCCTAGTAGGGAGTGTGGTGGATAGAACTAGAGATGTTGTTTTAACACTGGGGCCTTGAATGAATTTAAGAAGGTTCCTGAACCCACTGAAAATGTCCAAAAATGTTTTTTTCAGTACAGACCCATTGCTGTAATTACAGTCTCAAATTGTCCTGATGGCCAGAGCCATTAAGTAGTAAATTATTTCCCCTTAATATTATACTAGCTGCTAACTTATTAACTGTTTAACTCAACTTAAATTGGAACTTATGCTATAAAACAAACCAACTTGTTTTTCTTAAATTATCTTGTACGTCAACATTTTTTGAGTGTGATACAATAGATAGCAATGATGTTACAAATAAAGTTAAGGCGAACTCCTGTCTTAAAACTGAGAAGTAAAGACTGAAATGTGGGTTTTCCTAATAAGAAGGGATAGAGGCAAACTACAAAGGATATAAAGAATAAATGGTGAAATAAAATTGAGCTATTAAAAATTTTTAAAAAGATAGTTAAGATACCAGAAAAGTATAATCAACCTATCTATGCACATATATTTTTTTCTTTTAAAGAAGTCCTTCTAGGTTCTTAAGTAGTGTGGATAGAGGAGAACATTGAAGAAGGAAACATGTAGAGCATAATGGTTGAAAGAGCAGGTATAAATCACTGGAAGAGTACCAAGAAGAACAGAGGCAGACAGAGAAGAATATTTTAAAAAATGCCAGAAATTTTATGGTACCTTTCTTCCTTTCACATAACTCAGAGACCAAAGCTACATTAAATTATAAGGCTTAAGTAACTGAGTTGAGAGCTACTGAAATATTATGAAAAATTAAGATTTTAAAGTCATGTAGGCTAAGGTTTGAATACATCTGTGTGTGTCTTTGGGAAAATTACTTAACCTTTCCAAGTCTTGTTTTCTCTCGTGTAAAATGGAATAATACTGCCTACTCATAGGATGGTTAAAGGATTAAATCATATAAAATATGTACAATACCTGGAACAGAATTGGTTTCTATCCTCTTTCTTCCTCATTCATTTTCTTAGTCCAGGATATAAATTTTAAAGACTCTAACACACTTTCTCACTAATAACACTATTAATATATTTTAAATTAACATTATTAAGAGTAGGGAAACTGGCTTGCTCAAAATGTCATAACTCTTGGTGAGTTTTCTACTAAGTTGATTTGACGCAACACCTCAAATATTTCTCATATGTATGAAAATAAATGATGGGGGTGCTGTAAGTTAGGTCATCCCTTTTATAGCATAAAATAACAATTCTAATTTTTAGTTTGTTTTTCACAGGAAACTCATATAAGACAATTATAAAAAAAAAAAAAGTAGGCTTTTAAGTGTTGGACTAGAATCTCCATTAAAAAAAACAAGCAATTATAACCCAAATATCCAGATTGATAAATTGTCACTAGCAAACAATTTTATATAATGCTCTTACTTTTAATTTTATTATGTTGGCTGGTAATCACCAATACTTACCAGCTGATGCAGCAAGTACATCTTTACAAAGCTTTAACCAAAAGGAGAGTTTATCCACTGCCATAGATGTGAGCATATGGTTTAATGTCTCTTTGATATCATGGCATAATCTCACATCTGTCTCTTTGTCAAGTAAGGTCAATAAGGCCCCTTCAAGGCCCACTTCTCTGATGTTAGCATCTGACAAGAAGAAAATCGATGATCTAAGTAATACAGAAAACAAAACTGCCATATGAGAAGCACACACATTCAGTAGTTATTAAAATATTACATGCAAATATATTCTAAAGAACTAGTCCAAATATTGCACCTCAACCTACTGAGGTCTATTTTAGTTCACAATTCAAGTTTGGTAATTATTCACAACACTGCAAAGTTATTTTCTATGCAATGTCATTGAAAGATAAATCTTTATTAAGAGTTAACTAATATGTTTTCCTTAAATTAGGTAAACATTTAAACCCAATTAGCATTCAATACTTATAAAAATTTATATGATGTTTCTTGGTATGATTATTTTATCTTTTCTTTAAAGTTAATTCAAATAAATAATCATAATTAAGTTTTACTTATTCTGGTACAAAAGCTTTACATTTATTAACATGAGACTAAAACTCAGACAGAAAACAACTATTGTATGGAGAACAGTGTTTAATTACTGCAACTAAACTACAGTGGATCTGAAGAAGACTACTGAATTAATATAAATTACTACACAATATTCTCACTGCAAAGTAATAAATCATCTCAAAAAAGAAATAAAAACCTTGATCTAGTGTCTATTTCCTCTAATTCTGAAAATGTCAAAAGAACATATACATTTTCTCTTGAAGAT